TAGTAGTTAGTAGTAGTTAGTAGTAGTTAGTAGTAGTTAGTGGTAGTTAGTAGTAGTTGGCATTGGTTAGTAGTAGTTAGTAGTAGTTAGTAGTAGTTAGTAGTAGTTAGTAGTAGTTGGTAGTAGTTGGTAGTAGTTAGTAGTAGCTAGTAGTAGTAAGTAGTAGTAAGTAGTAGTAAGTAGTATGTAGTATGTAGTATGTAGTAAGTAGTAAGTAGTAAGTAGTAAGTAAGTAAGTAAGTAAGTAAGTAAGTAAGTAAGTAAATAAGTAAGTAAGTAAGTAAGTAAGTAAGTAAGTAAGTAAGTAGTAGTTGTTGTTGTTGTACTAGTAGTAGTAGTAGTAGTAGTAGTAGTAGCAGTAGTAGTAGTAGTAGCAGTAGTGGCAGTGGTAGCTATCGTAGTAGTATTAGTTTTGGAAGTAATAATGTAATAGTGATACTAGTAAAGGTCTCTCTTCAAAACAAAAAAGTAGTCGTAGTAGTCGTAAAACCGTAACCGTAAACCTAACCCTAAAAGCCTTACCCTTCAAACGTCGTACTAGTAGTAGTAGTAGTAGTAGTGGTAGGCGGTAGTAGTAGGTAGTAGTAGGTAGTAGTAGGTAGTAGTAGGCGGTAGTAGTAGTAGTAGTCGTCGTAACTGTGATGTTAGCAATCGTAAAAGTAGTCGTACTAGTAGTGGTAGTCTGAGGCATTCTGAGGCTGTGACTTAGCTAAGTCATACCTAAGGACTTATAAGTACTATAGGCGTAGCCAAGTAGGCTAAGTTGAAGCTAAACCTTTCAGAGGTTAGCAAACTTATAAGCAAGGTTATAAGCAGGTTAGGGGTACTTACAACCTAGGTTTTAAGTCAAAGCTAGCCAACCACCGGGGAAGTAGTAATAGTAGTGATAATAGTGTTTTCATACTAGTAGTTGTATTAGTAGTCGTAGAACCCCTAATCCGAAAAACCTAACCCTAAAACCTAAACACCTGACCTTAAACCCTTACCCATAAGCTCGCGCCTAGCGCGCGCTGTCCGGGCCAAGCCAGCGCCGCCAGCTAGCGGAGGGGGGCTGGTGTCGATCACCAGCTCCCCGAGCCCTTTGCAACTCAGAGTTGCGCTCGAAGTGGGTACTAACAGTAAAAGAATTACCCTTAACCGTAAGCCCTGGCCCTGTTGGAGGCTTTGGATTTACCCCCCTTTGCCTGGCGTTTACCCCGGCACAGCTGGCCGCGTGCCACATATTCCTTCGCTGCTTCTTGGCCAAGGAAACGCCGCACACGGTCTAGCGCTGCGAAATACACGCTCGGGCTCGCCGCGCAGAACCTTTCCAGGGCCGCTGTGATCCCGTTGGACCGGCCGGCCTCGTTCATTTTCTGCATCTGCTCTCCAGAGCAGAACAAGCACTTGGTTTCGCCCCGTGTCAGTTGCGCGCGGGCAGCCGCGCCATTCCGCGACGGGCAGAAGCAGCATGCCGAGTCCTCCTACCCGTGCATTCCTCCACGGGCCTACAGGCCGGGGACAGCACGAGGTACGCCTCGCGTTCTACTTGTTTACCACGTAGGCGGCATCGCTTTAGCGACGGTCCGCCGCTCACTGTCCGGGCATCTTCTTCCTGCGACCGAAAGAGGGCCGCCAACCCGCTGGCAGGGCTGCGAGCTGCGACTGACAAGAGTCGACTTCCCCAGGGCACAGAAAACATAGGGCTCCTCCACAAACCTGTGGAATTGGCTTCTCACTTTTCCGTTTTAGGATCCGCCGCCGGATCGGTGGCCATCGCATGGATGTAGCGGACAACCTCGTCCTTCACCTTGAAGGAGAGGCTCGGGGAGCTAGCGGAGCCACGCTGCAAAAAGCACACTGCATATAGGAAGTCTCATCGGGCTCAAAGTGTTCCGACACCAGCGAGCCATCTGTGGCAAAAGGAGCCGCCATAATGGTGAGGCCACCCTCGGTCTGGTCGGTGGTACCCGAGGCTGTCCGTCGGCGACGAAGAGTGAAGCCTTTCGGAGAGTTCTTGGGTGATGTTGCTGCGAGGGTTTTCGTATAGGGCGAAGTCTACCATGTTTCTGTTGCTCCCTCAGGAAATGTTGCGCGTTGGGTAACCACACCCAAAACAAACCATATCCACAAGAAAGACAACAATTTCATACCTGTGGGTCTGGTGGTTCTATCTCCGCTATACCGTTACAAAACTTCGATGTGACAAAACACAATCCACTCTATGTCCAGGCAGCGACTTGATCTCTCCGACAAAAATTGTTGCCCTGTCGCGCCGACCGCCTGTGGCTTTGCCGCTGAGGTGGCCAGCGTTCTGCAACATGGCCCGGGACAACCTCCCGGAAGGCTTCTGCGAATCCATCCACTGGCTAGAGCAGCGCATCACGGACCAACTTTGCACAACGCGGCTGCTTCGCTTAGCCACCAGCTGGCCGCCGCTCAAATTTCCATGTACTCCATGTGACCGTCGGTGGCGTTGGCTGCACTGTGGTCTCCTATCAGCTCCTCGCCTTCTCGGGCGCGCACTTTGCCGCGCGCCGGACTCGCTAGACCGTTGGCCGAGAAAATCGAACCGCGCGCCTAGATCCGATGGAAATTGGAATCCAGCTAAACACGACAGGTCACAAGCGCTGCTTTTAAGCCCACGCTCTCACCTCGGCGCGGTGTCTTGCGGTTTTCGGCCCACGCGTCGGGTCTCGCCCGCTTGGCTTGCGCACTACGTAGCTTTCCTCTACGCCTGCCGTCGTTTGTACCTTGGTCGCATTACCGCGTCGTCCCGGCGGAAAAAAAGGTATTGGATTTGAGGATGGATTAATTATACCCTGGTGTAAAAAACCCTAAGCCCATAAAAGGTGCAAGTTTGTGGGTGGGAAACCCTTTGCGAAAGCGGCGCGCCTCCCCTCGACACATCTTGGGGAGGCGCCGCCGCGGTACTGTAAACACCTAAAACCCGAAAACGCCAAGCCAGTACTAGTGGTCACGGTGGTGCCTGGCGGTCGTTTTCGTTGCTGTTGTGGTCGTGGTCATGGTGGTTGGCGTTGATGTCTGGGATATAAATATATATATATACACAGAGAGAGAGAGAGAGAGCAAAATGCTTTGCCACTGCGGCGGCGACGTCGACCTTGCTTGGGGCCATGTTTGGCCTCCACCATCTGCGCCACCATCCTCTCCACCACCATCTGCGCCACCAGATCTGAGGCGCTGCCCTTGCCGTAGCAGGTCACAAACGCTGTTCTGGCAGAACACACAAATGAACAGTCCTGAGGAGCCCTTATTCGACCAGCATTGCTTAAGCGCGGCCTCGTCCTGGCAGTGACTCTGGGTACTCTGTGGAGGTTGTCATCCAAGCTCCGCCGACTTCAAATCTCCCAAATCTGGAAGATGAAAGCGCACGCGCCGTGCAACTGTGAAGTGGGGCTTCTGAAACAACGTGAGCAGGTGAGTTACGCGGGGCATCCTCCGACAAGAACACTCAGACTGGCTTTCTTCACGGGCCAGTAGGAAAGCTATGAAGAGTGCAAAGGATTCTAAAGCTTCCAAAACATCACAAGGATGCAACTAGCAAGCTACAATACATGCTACAAAGAAATCTGCGCATATTGGACGCACTGGGTATGGCGGCCGTGAGTGAAAAAAGGTTTTGCACTGTACACTGGTTTGATGTGTGCTGTGGATCTATATTGTAATATACAATATATCAAAACGGCTACTAGATGTAATTAGACTCCCTGCTCGATATCACTGTTCGCTGGTGTCTCAGCGGTAGATCTATATAGATCCCTGGTCGTTCCGGCGTGGTCGGTGATCCACACTTGATCGGTCGCTCGGTCGCCAGGATCGGTCACCGGAGATCACCGGAGGTATAGCGAAAGAAAGTGAAACAAACGAAACCGACCAATACCGCTTGCAAATCTGCACGCTAGACTTCAACGTCGGCCCAACAAATACATTATCTACCTCACCGGCATGCTCCTACGCAAGTTGCCCATGGTGAACAAACCAACCACACCGGATCGGTCTCGGTGACCAGAGCTCGAGAGGTCTAGCAAGGGGACGGAAAACGTACCAAACCGACCATACCGGATCGGTCACCAGAGAGGTCTAGCAAAGGAAAGGAAAACAAACCAA